AGATTTTAATTTACCTTTTATGTTAATGATTAATTATAATATTCATTATATGTCACATTGAAAAACTATTAATTACATATCTCAAAATGACTTTATTAAATTTCTCTTTTCAGGCAAATTATACTTATGGTAGGTCCTTTAAGTTTCATAAAAGAGGTAATATCAATTATTATACTTTGAGTTGGTCTCTAAATTTAATGTTTTTACAAAACAAAGAAAATAGAAATAATAATTAAAATAAAAAACAAAAAATATTATATTATTTATTGTAGTGATCATCTAGACTTTCTTTATTTTATCAAATTATTTATTCTTGTTAAAAAAATATAGTTACTTTATCTTAAGATGTAAATCAATTAAATATTGATTAAAAATTTGAATATTAATTTTTTTACTTGTTTTCATTATTTTCATAACCTAATTTTTTATCTCTAATTCTAAAATATTTTTCAAAAAAAACAAAAGGAAAAAAAATTAAAAAATAAATGTTTATGATGCATTTCAGCCATTTGCTTGCCCATTTCCCAATTTTTTAATATTTTTATCTTGCTTATATCTTCTTGAAAAAAATAAAAAAATAAAGAATATTTTTTCACCCATTTCATAATTTTCAATGTATTTTAAAAAAATCAAAATTATACTTTCGATGCTTTTCAGCCATTAATGCATCAATTTTGCAATTTTTTTAATACTTGTCTTATCAAATTAATGTTAGGGTTGTTTTTCAAAAAAAATATTAAAAAAATTTAAAAAATATAATGAAAAGAATATTAAGAAGTGAAATGAAAATAAGAAAAGAAGTGGCTAAAATAAAATTAAGTTACTAGATGACCAAGCTGACAAACAATTTGGACTCTAAATAGAAAAGAAGGGGGCATAAAAAAAAAAGAGATGTGTAGGAAACTTTAGCCACCGCATACAAAAAGAAAAAAAAAACCTAACTTCATCGCTCCCACTAAAAACCTCAACCACCGTTAGAAGAAAAGAAACCTTGTTGAAAAATATAGGGAAAAGAAGAAGAAAAAAAAATAAAGGGTCACTATTTATAATCTTCTTCTTCCCCACTCTTTTGAAACCCTAGCTATTATTTAAAAAAAAAACTTTTTAAGAGAAAATAAGATGAAATTTAGATTAAAAAAAAACTCTAAAAGAACAATATTCATCTTCTCCTACCTTTACCCCAATCTCTCTCTCTTAAAACAATTAAAAAAATTATTCATTTCTCTCTCCTCCAACCTCTATTTATAACAAGACCACTATCATTGTTTTCATCTTTAAACCCTCTATAAAAACCTTTTGTCATTAAAACTAATGACCCATGCATCGTCATTGATCAAAGAGAGAAAACAACCATCAAAACTTTTCTCTTAAATTTCTCTTTTCTCGTAATCGTTGTTCTTCTCCCCTTGATGAGTACTATAAAACCATAACTCTAAAGAGAGAAAACCAAAATCACAGAGAGATAAACATAACCATTAAAACTTTTAGACATCAGATCTCCCTCACTAGTCAATAGTGATTTCACCACCATTATAGGAAGGAGTAGGGAGTGATATATCCATAGGTTCATTCCATGAGCCAATTAAACATTGATGGCTAATGCAACAACTTGCCAATTTAGATAATCTTTACTACATGTGGCTACCACATGCCACAATTGTTTCCTTCTATCCATTAGGGTTTTGTCGTTGTTTCAGCCCCTTTCAATCCACTTCGACCGCTATAGAAGGTCCATTTCAAACTCAAACATTTTTTTGAATAATTACTCTAGTTTATTATTGATTTTAATGTGTTTTAGGATGAGATTGTTGGGATTAAGCAATATTTATTGGATTGATATTTGTGTTTGAATGCATTTAATCAAATCCTTTAATTTTGTATCTTGTTTTCTTTCATGTTTTTGGCCATTTCATCATTATCCTTAGTATGACAACATATTTTTATTTGTGTATGAACATTAATATATTCAACAATATGTATTAGCATGCTCTTTTGGTTTTAAGTGATAGAAAATCATTATTTATTCATAAACATCTATGTTGGGTTTTGTATATTGGTTACAAAATATGTTAAAAAAAATTTCTCATATTAAAAGGCCTTTAAAAGGCCAACATTCTAATGTTTTCACAAATACTTTCTTTTCTAAATTATGTTTCACTTAATCTCTAATAATATTATTAATTTTTTATGTGCTATTCACCTATAATATTCAAGGTAAATAAAATTATAACAAGTCATCACTTTGAATGTTAATTTAGACTAGCACTTATATCTTATAATTTTATCTTTAAGAATCAAAGTTTTTTTAAAAAAAAATACATAAGTTAAATATCTATTAATGATTTTTAATATAAATAAACCCTTAAAAGTCATTACTTTTAGGTGTTTATTAAGATGAGAAGGTGATTAATTTACGTGTGATATAAATATCTTGGCTTCAATAAGTTATTCATTCACAGTGTTTATATATTAATGAATCTTATCATATATTAATGAATCTTATCAACTGATATGCATAACCATTCATTTGGGTAATACACTAAAATTGAATTACAAATGTGATTGAAAATAGCACATCTTAGAAAAAATAAATCTATTAATGTTATTTTTCAAACTTAGTCCATAAAAAGACTTCCATATCACTAGATCCTATTTCTAAATAAATGAACCTATGATGGTCATTACTTGAATATTTAGGACTAGGGTATCAAATTTTTGTTCAACAAATTTACAAATAAACATGTTATTATAAAATAAATAAACTTTAACAAGTTATTATATATGGACTATTGCTGCATAAACAAAATATTTATTGACAACTCTTTCTAGAAGTAGTTGGTTTTAGATATGGTGATTCACTAAGTTAGAAATGATAAAAATAATATAGTCCTAGAAAAGATAAGTTAGAATATTCATCCAGGTTCGATTTAATATAGTAAATTCATTATTACTTGTATAGATATACCATTAGTAAATTAGATATAAAAGATTATTAAAAATAAAAAATATGTACTAATTCAACTTATTTAAAATAGTAATATTTAACCTAACTAATTTTTTATTTTAAAACTTTAATTAAAATTTTTAATAATCATGCCTACTTGTTTTTCATAAGTGTTCCACAAATATTGTAAATATTTTAATGATAATTTAGTTGGTTTTGAGTATCAAAAAAAATAAAATCACTCCCTTCCAGAAAACAGGGTGAGAATAGTTATCGCCAACTACTTAGCAAATGTTGTAATGATAATTTGAATCTTGTAAAATAATAATATTTAATAAAAAAAAACTTTGCAATCATCATCAAGTGATTGCAAAAAAAGACAACAGGTGATGTAATTTGCATTGGAGACAACACAATTTCCATTCATAGCAGCTGGGTTTGCATGGGTCATGAATCAATGGTGATGACAGCTTTCGATGTGATTGGCTTTGTTGATTTACAACCACCGTGCGCTGATGAGAAAGGGCGAGAAAAATACATCCTTTTATTTTAAATTTGAAGACAATAATTAACTTTTAATTTTAGTAATAATTTTTTTTTGCTTGTTTATGCGTTTCTAATTTGTTTTTTTATTCTTATTTTCAGGAGGGAAGAACTAGGAAAAACACGTTTGCATCTTTTCGAGCCTTTTTTTTTGTATATTTTTTAGTTTTATCTCTTTTCACTGTAAGGTGATTAATTTACGTGTGACATAAATATCTTGGCTTCAATAAGTTGTTCATTCACAGTGTTTGTGCATTAATGAATTTTATCAACTGATATGCATAACCACTCATTTGGGTAATACCCTAAAATTAAACTGCAAATGTGATTGAAAATAGCACATTTTAGAAAAAATAAATCCATTAATGTTATTTTTCAAACTTAGTCCATAAAAAGACTTTCATATCACTAGATCCTACTTTTAAATAGATAAATCTATGATGGTCATTACTTGGATATTCAAGGACTAAGGTATCAAATTTTTGTTCAACAAATTTACAAATGAACATGTTATTATAAGATAAATAAACTTTAATAAGTTATTATCTATGGGCTACTGTTACATAAATAAAACATTTAATGACTACTATTTCTAGAAGTAGTTGGTTTTAGATATGACAATTCACTAAGTTAGGAATGATAAAAATGATATAGTCATAGAAAGGATAAGCTTGAATATTCACCTAGATTTAACTTAATACGATAAACTTATCATCACCTGTATAGATAGATCATTAACAAATTAGATATAAAAGATCATTAAAAATTAAAAAAAAAATATACTAATTCAGCTTATCTTAAATACAATACTTTAAGATGATAGTATTTTTTTTAGCCTAATTTCTTATTTTAAAATTTTAATTAAAATTTTTAATAATCATGCCTACTTGTTTTTAATAAGTGTTCCACAAATATTGTAAATATTTTAATGATAATTTAGTTGGTTTTCCCACTCTGAGTATCAAAAAAAAAAAAAATCACTCCCTTCTATAAAACAGGGTGAGAATAGTTATCACCAACTACTTAGCAAATGTTGTAATGATAATTTGAATCTTGTAAAATAATAATATTTAATAAAAAAAACATAGCAATCATCATCAAGTGATTGCAAAAAAAGACAACAGGTGATGTAATTTGCATTGGAGACAACACAATTTCCATTCATAGCAGCTGGGTTTGCATGGGTGATGAATCAGTGGTGGTGACAGCTTTCGATGTGTTTGGCTTGTTGATTTACAACCACCATGCGCTGAAGAGAAAGGGCGAGAAAAATACATGTTTTTATTTTAAATTTGAAGACAATAATTAACTTTTAATTTTAGTAATAATTTTTTTTTGCTTGTTTATGCGTTTCTAATTTGTTTTTTTATTCTTATTTTCAGGAGGGAAGAACTAGGAAAAACACGTTTGCATCTTTTCGAGCTCTTTTTTTTTTTTGTCCATTTTTTTAATTTTTAAAATAACATATTTTTTAGTTTTATCTCTTTTCACTGTTTGCTTTTTTCCCCCCTAGAAATCTAATTTCATTGTGAGCATTATGATATTAGAGGTGGAGGTGGAGATGGAATAGTAAGAAATCTTGGGGTGGAGCTCCAAACCCTTATCACAATCATCATTGATGAAGAGTTTGCTAATCCCTATAAGAAAATGAGAGAAATCTTTGCAGAAGGAAAGAATCAAGAAGCAATTAAGAGAGAAAGAGAAAAACGACAGCAAGACCAAGAAATTTCCCGGTGAATTACTTCTTCCCTGTCCTCGCCATCACCCTTCCACAATTAGAGAGGGCTACAGTGCTCGCTAAGGATTTGGTTCAGCTGGCAAGGGTGTAGATGCTCTGAAAAACTTCAGGTAAGGATGCACTGTGCTGACCCAAAGGACCAAAATCAGAAAATCTAAAGATCATGGATTTAGTAACCGCTTGTTAAGAGTGATGGTACCAATTAGTGAAATTCACTCCCTAGTTTCCTCCCTCTCCTTCGACTCGGCGCTCACTCACCGATAGGTACCATCATACGATATAAAAGGACAAGCAAAGTAACGAACCTCCTCCAGCTCCACAGAGAGAAAAAACAGAAACATACATGGAGCAGCAGCAGCAGAAGCAACAATTGCTCCAACAAGAAGTGCAGCAGCAGCAGCAGCAACAACAATTTCTCTTGTTACAGCAATTAACAAAACAAGCCCAACAACAACAACAACAAGCTGCCATTTCTCGATTCCCATCAAATATCGATGCGCACCTGCGTCCACCATCCAATCATCGCCCACTCACTCTTCACCAGCAAAACCCTAACCCTAACCCTAACTCTAACCCTATTCCCAATTTGCAGCAACAGCAAGGGTCCAATTTGGGGCAAAATGCGCAGCATTTACAGCAGCAGCAGCAAAAGGGGATTCGGCCTCAGGTGAACCAGGTGGAGCTCCAAATGGCGTACCAGGATGCTTGGCGTGTTTGCCATCCAGATTTCAAGAGGCCATTCTCTTCTCTTGAAGATGCTTGCGAGAGGTTTTTTAAACTCCCTCCCTCCCTCTTTTTTTATGTAATTCAATTTTTTTTTATTTGTTTGTTATGTGGGTATTTCATTTTTTGTCTTGTTTTTGTGAAATGTGAGAGTTTATTGTTCATGCACATTTTTCGGTGATACGATGATTTCTTGTGGAATGGAATATTGAATGATCTGTGATGAGATTGAGATTGCGATTCATAACATTTTGGTAGTCTGTGACGGTGCGGTAATGTTGGGACCTGTTTATGGATATCATTGGAGTTTGATCACATTTTATTCGGCATCTTGTTGTAGAGAAAATGCATTACTTAAGCAAGATCTCCTAGACTACTTTGAAGTTTACTGTTGTTTGGTGTATGAGAGTTCTTATTTGGTTTGATTGTTCATAGATACAATGTGCTTCTTAGAGATTGATAGACTTTATATGCATATAGACGGAACAAATTTATGGGAGTTGCCATGTGGCGCTTTGGTCCTGATGGTTAGGGTACTATATGCATATAGACGGAACAAATTTATGGGAGTTGCCATGTGGCGCTTTGGTCCTGATGGTTAGGGTACTATATGCTTATTTACACTTCATTACATGTTGCATTAGAAAGATTTGTATTTCTTTATTATGGTTTCCCAACAAATTGGAGATAGAAATGGATATAAGGTAAATTATGACTTATGGTGTTTGGATTATGCATTTGCCAAATGGCATGTGGAACTCTTGCTAGTTTTTTTCTTTTGCTCATGCAATTGATCTTTATTATTATTTTCTAACATAGCTAGAAAATGGAAAAAACAGATAACATTTGTTGTACTGTTGTAAGAGATGGTTATTTTCTCTTTCACTGAATGCAACTGTTGAAACTATACTGACTGCTGTGGCAAAGATGCTTGCATTTGTTTATACATAATTTAGTTGTAAATATTAGGAAGGTCTTGAATTGTTGTTTTCAGAGTGAGGAATTAGGTCTTGAATTGTTGTTTTCAGAGTGAGGAGTTGGGTTTTGTTTCTTAAATCATGCTTGTGTTTTGAAAAAGGATTTGATATGAATTTGATGAGATGAACCGGGAACAAAGCAAGGGAAATTCCAAAGTAGAAATGATTTAAGCAAGGGAAATTCCAAAGTAGAAATGATTTTCCAATTTTATCTTGTAGTGATCCAAAAAACGTTTCTCTAGATCACATAAATGAACTCTTACTATTAGCATGTTGCTGTTTTGTAGTTTTTGCCATATTTATCAGAAGTTGTGGAATGAATCTCCTCAGTTGGAAACACAGGAATATGGTCAAATACCATAGATGAGAATTCTTTTATGCATATATTACTTGTGTTAGCGCTGTATATACTTGCAGGCATATATGCACATGGATAGTTTTATACTTGTGTGGTTCTTCGTGAGGGGAAACTAGATCCGTTTCTATTGAGTTCTCGTTTACGTTTTACTTTTAGGCATTTAAAAATACCTACAAAACTCTCTCCTCGGATAACTTTTCAGTAATAAATGTGTGAACTTCCTTTTCATATTTTGACTTTGGAGTTTCTTCGTAATTATGTATTTCATTCATTACCCTGTCTTTTGCTTTGGCAAGTGAACTATTCAGAAACATGTTTGTATCAATTTGGCTGTCCCAAATTGTGAAATAGATTTTGTATCAGTATCAGAATTCATAAATAGGAATGCATGATTCCTGTCTTTTGAAATAATTCCAGCTCTGAAAATTGTCAGTTTTTTAATTAGAAATTATTGGTTGATACATGCTTTGGTGTCTCTTGGTTTTTTTAGGATGCATTGGTATAGCTTCATTTAATGTACATGATGTGTGGAGCTCATCATCTAATGTGCATAATGTATATGTAGCTTCTGTAATGGAATTTGAAAATGCAAGCTGAAAGATTTTGGCAGTAAGCAAAGGAAAAAAACCTTGAAAATTGAATGCTAGAGGTTCTTAAAACAACACTTCAACTCATGTTGATTTATACGTAACTTTCCTACTTATAGGCAGTACACAATGATGTGCTTCCTAACACTCCCTCCCAAACCACATTTATGCACAGCCCAAAAAAAAGCTAAAAGAGGACGCATCAAATGTAAATGCTTGCATATACTGTGCAAACTATGGAAACTCAATATGAAAAATTCTACTTGGTGATGTGTGGTTCCTCATTATGTTCCATGCATAGAAATTATGTTATCATTTATTATTTTCTAATTGATGTCCTTTTGCCAAACTAGAGGATATATTTCATTATCTATGAAAACAAAAATTGGTCTTCTTATTTTATTTGCAGTTTGTGAAATCCACCTACATCCTGCAATTTTCCTCCATTTTTGTGATTTTTTTGCTATTCAATTATTGGAAATCCAGTGTAACAACTTCATATTTCAATGAAATTTTGCATAGCAGCCATTGTTTTTGTGCTCTTTTGGTGTTATGAAGGGTTGAACATTTTTTTTGTAAGCAATGCTAAATGGTTAGCATAAGTGAATTTTGCTTTGTATATGTGTATTCAAGTATTTACCTCAGAGTATACAAGTATCAATGTCTAAAATTTTTAAACTTGGACGCAGTTCCTTTCAGTATTTGTTTTGTGCTACTTGAGCTACTTATTAGAATGTGAAATTGTTGTTATTCTAAATTATTAGTGTCAACAGAAGCAAAAATAATGCCAATAGCTTTCGTTGTCTTATGAAATATGTACAACTGCCAAATTTCAAGTCTTGCACTTTTTATTTTTTCTTGTGACGTAAAATTTTATTATGCTGAGCATTAACCTCGAAGATTTGTTAGTTGGCACTTGGATGCGATGATTCACATCATGATTTCAAGAAAAAATATTTGGCAAATTGATGTAATTTTGTATTTTTGTTTTTCAATTACAAAAATAAAAATAAAAATGAAGGGAGTGATGAGATAGGGTGCCATCCATTTCTTTCCGATGGTACATCTTATAGACAACACTGACTTTAATTGTGATTTAAAGTTGTATAGTTGGGCACTGCTAGTTGGATGAATAATTTCCACCATGGCCTTCAAAAATTCTCCTGTTAATTCATTTCACCTTTCCTCTTGCAAAACATATCCAGATTACTGCCTTACCATGTAGTAGCAGACTATGAGGCAGAGGAGGACGATAGAATCCTTGATTCTGACACAACTGGCCAGATGCCATCTCGTTTGCAGCAGTGGGATCATAACATTGCTGCAAAAGTGGCAGAGTTCACAGGCACATTTGAGAAACAGGCCTTAGCCTTCAACATAATAAGCCACAAGCGTGCCTTGGGTGAATTCCGAACTGAAGAGAGATTGATGATTGAGCAGGCTCTTCTCCAAGAGGAGAAGCGACTTCTGCTTGATTTGAAAGCTGAAACGGATGCCAGGGAGAAGGCCAGTCGAGAGGCTCAGTTGAGAATGGCAGCTATGGTCCAGGCTGAGCAAGCTCGGGCAGAGTCACATGCTCGTGCTGAAATGATGTCCCGGGCCCCAATAAGGCCAAGTGCACTCGGATCGCAAGGTAACAGTGTTCAAATTGGTCATGACATGAGAGAGCAGGAACACAGTGTTAACCCCGAAGAGATGATGAATGGGTGGGGAGGCAATGCTCAGAGAGATGAGAAAGAGCCTTCTGAAGATTTCTTGAATCATGAGGAGACTGAAAATGGGGACTCAGCAGGACATGGTGAGTGGAGAGAAGTGGGAGAATTTGATCTGAACACCAGATGAACCATGCAGGGTAATTGGCAGGAAAGAAAGCTGTTGGTCTATTTCAATCTCAATGGCATGAGAATGGCTGAATGACATCTGATTGTGATTATCTTTCTGGAAAGCATGAATGACCAGCTCAAAGGTAACTGGGTAATTCAAAGATGTAATTTCGGAATGCTAATGTTCTCCTATGGCTTTCTTAGACTAGCTTGTTCAAAGCACCTGTGAGATGCATGAGATTCCCTTGTAGTGGGCAAACCTTGAAGTAACCTCGTGAATATTTAAGGGTTCGACACTATTTTCATGCTAAACTAGTTTTGGCAACAGGAAGAAGATTTCCAATGATAATCTTGGTAATTCTAATGGAAAAAAGCCATTGTTTCTGTTTATCTATGTGTTCCGTTGTAAACATGCATGGAAATCAGCCATAATTTACTCCAAAACCGTGTCCATGGTTTCTGTTTTTTCTATTTCGAAACGATGTCGAAGCGGATGATAAATTACATTTAATTTCATTTGTCTTAAAATTTATAACAATAACCAAATCATTCAAGAATGATAGAAAGTATGCATGACAACTGGATTTCAATGAAAGCTACTATCCATGTTGGGAGTTGGCCAGTCCATATAGGAACCTGCACTTGTCTGCAAGAACACCCGTAGAGTTGAAACACGGAGCTAGAAATGAATGGATGACCAAAATTTGGAGTCTCTTAAATCCAATCGTGGGCGAAAGGCTTCTCACAGGACTATTATTTCTACTACCATGACCACAGTGAGTCTCTTATGATTTGATTGGTATTTTTTTGCTTTGCTTTGCTTCCTATAGTTATGAATGTGTTGTTGGATTTTGTGTTGGTATATACCGAAAAAGGGTCGTGTTTTCGTTTGTTAGAGTGCACTCTTGTGATGTAGGGTGAGTTGCTTGATGAAGAATTGTTGAGAAAATTTATATCGGTGTGTTTTAGGATTTAGCAATGGTTAAAAACATGAATATTAATAATCTAACATTTTCTTTTATAAATATAAAACGATTGACTAACTAATATTTTCTCTGAGTGATTGGTGATTGTTGACACTCCATTAGTGGTAATTTTGTTATCTTGAATCAACATAGGTATTTTAGTGCATAAATTAAAAATAATAGTAAACTTGTAAATAATCTAACATTTTTTTGTGAAGTTTTTCTTTTTGTGTCAAAGTTGGAGGATGTAAAGTGTTATAAAATTATTAAAATTTAAAATTTACCTTTTTAAAATATATACATAAAACAAAGAATTAATCAAATTACAGAAAGCTCAATATAATTTTTTATTATTTTTTTTATTAATCAAAGGACCAAATCATTTAGTAATTCTAAGCAGTAAATCAATTTGTATAGTACATTATATATCATTTTTTTTTTACTGATCATATCTTTACAACAACATATATCAATCAGCACAAAAATAATCCAAACATTTTAGATCAATATTAAACTCAAATGTGTGACTTATTCACTTGTCCTTATATCATCTCTCATTTTTTCGTTTTTATTTCATTTATATCATGTTAACTACAAACACAAATAACATATACTAATAAATGACATGCATTGAGCTTATATATATAACATTTAAAGTGAGTAGTACTTCTTTATATGCCATTATTTAGATAATATTTAAACTTACATATTTTAGTTACATAATACAAAATAACAATCAAAGTTTACAAGATAAAAGGTTTCTTTATACAAAATTAGAAATAATTTCCACCAATTAACTACAACAAAATAATAATAATCGAAGGTCACTCTTGAATGAAGAATTTGATATAAAGATCAATATTTCATTACATAAATCTCTATTATTACAAAATATTTTAAAACTCTTCAAGAACTACATTATTTTGTGCAACTTTCCTTCACCTTCATTCTCATTTTTAATACTTTAATAAAAATCCATAAGATCTTCAATGGTTGATCACTTTAGCATTTCCTTTGGAAGCCACTAAATCTATTAATCTTAACTAAACATCTATTATTCTCTAATTAATTCTCGTGGTTGCCGATCATTTTAGCATTCTCATTTGAAAGCCATTTAATCTAATAATTCTAACTAGATATTTATCAATCTAGCTAACCTTTATGGTTGGCAATCATTCTAGCATTCCCATTCAAAAGCCATTTAATCTAATAATCTCAACCGGATACTCATCAATTATAATAACACTTGTTTCATTTTTTTTGTTGTATATATCAATATAATTGAATACAAAGCTAAATGAGAACTTGTTAAATAGAGTTGTTTACAAGGTACAAAGTACCTACCTTAAAGCTGATTTTGTTGAGATCCTCCTTGTTGTCCTACTCTAAAGTTTTCTCCTATATTAATAGGTTTTACAATCAATTATTGTTTTATCCAAATATAATTCATTCCTATCATGTTTATCCATACAAAAACCCAATATCTATTCAAGGAATCCAAATTTATAAATTATATGGAAATTCATCATATCATGAAACAATGGTTCGATTCATCAGAAACTATTATTCACACATGAATACATATGTATACAATATAATTCTCATGTATGACACATTTCAAAACTCTAAACCGTAGGAAATAAGTATAAAATAAATCTCATAAAATTTGAAATCTGAAGACTCATGTATCTGTTTAACTAAGAAAAATAATTTAAGATTGCATGATTATCAAAAAACTAAGGAAGAGAAAAGATGAAAATATAATTTTAAGTATAGGAATAAAGGTGAGAATTTCTTTCATCCCCCCCCCTCCCTCTCTTTCCTTTTATTTGAAGGAAATCCCAACTCCCCACATTCCTACTAGTCTGTTTATATCCTCAACAAAAAAAAATTATAGGAGTTTTTTTTCAAAGAAGACAATTTATATGCAAGTAAAACAATAACTATTTTCTATAAAGAAGAAAAAAATAGTCTTGTATAAAATATTTAAGCTTTGATTTTGAACTTAGTGAAGTTAATTTGCCCAAATGAAGATCTTTTTCCATATGAAGAAATAATTATCATGTTAGTTTGGATGTTTAGAAAATAAGTTGGACTTGTTTCTTTACAAAACTTGTCTGCTAGTAGAATTTATAGGTTGTCTTAGAAATATCATATTTCTCTCAATATGAGCTTCCTTTTAAAAAACAAATTGGTAGGTTGATAGGTTTTTGAGTTAGGAATTCATCAAAATTGAGTTTTGCATCAATGGACTTCTCTAACTCAAAATATTCAAGTAGAAATGACCAAAGGTCAAAACTAGCGAGGCTTGTCTTTGAAGATTGTAATTTTCATGCTCTTTCTTCCTCTTTTTATTCTTTTCTTACCATATATGTATAGAAAGGTATGCATGTAACTTTTTAATGTCACTAGAATCATTTTATTTTGACCTCTACAGTTCAAGTTCTATATAAAACATCGATTGAAGGTCAAATATGTCAATATTTAACACAAATTGGAACATGGTCCAGTTCAAGTTATGTATAAAACATCGATTGAAGGTCAAATATATCAATATTTAACACAAATTGGAACATGGTCTGAATTTTATCTCCAAATTACTCATTTTTTAATCTTACATTCAAAAGTATCTTCAAAACATAAAATAAAGAATATTAAGACATCTTATATATAAAACATGGGTAAAATAATAGGTAAATATAAGTAAAACTATAGAATAATATGGTTGTATTAGTTTCTATATCAAACTCTCACCCTTAGTGGGATGCTAGGTACCTATCAAAAAAGAAAAAAACATTCATGTTAATAATAAATATTTTATGAAGTCCTTAATCTTTATCAATTCTTTTAAGATAATCCCTAATATGCTTATTTATGCTTAAAACATAGTACAAAAAGCATATCATAAAAGGAATAAAAATATATTTATTTTATGCTTATCAAAAAGACAAAAAGAATGTTCTTTAAATCTTTAATAAATAATATAAGCACCAATCAATATTGGTATTTACATTAAGCCATTTGTGAAAAAATAGCAAGAAGGTTAACAAGAAACAAAAATAAAGAGGGGACCTAAATCCTAAAACTTAACATATAAATTGGTGTTAAACAAACATAATATGCTGCATATGAAATTGGGATACACCTCAACATATCGATCTAATACACAAAATAGGGGACAAACACTAAAACAAAAAATAAAAAGGGTTAGGTTTTACTATATACACAAACATATATTATTATAAATTGTTACAATAAAATTACTTTTTTTTTCCTTGTCACAAACAATCATTATACTAGCTAACAAGGATATAATGATCTTTTTACAAGACTTTTTGGTCATTATTAAATCGATTTGGAACATATAGATCCTTTCTAATTTTCTTAACACAATAGAATTACTAAATCACCCTTAAAAGCAAGATTTAATTTACTAGAATTTAGGGTTTCTTTTGTATTTTCACTTTTCCTAAGCATAGTAAAATTATTAAAATACCATTAAAAGTCAAGTTTCTTTACATCTTCATTTTTTTATTGTAGTTTTTTTTGTTATTATCAAGTTGACTAATGAGTAATTTTGTAATTTTATAAATATTAATATTATAAAAAAAAACTAATTGATGCACATGTCAAATGGTGTGAGTAGCGTTGCCCAATGGCCAAGTGCCGACTTCTAAGACACCATTGAAATCTCCTCGACAGCTCTTTTATGCTAGAACAGCAAATGTTGTCACCAAACCACTAATTTGATGTCGCTAGCTTCTTTTTTTTCTTCGCTCCTTCATTTCCATGTCAATCCTTTTAAATTTTCAAAATAGCTCTTCAATTTATCTTTCATTCATATTTGATCTGTATTTTTTTATTACTATTTATTTTATTTGAAATAATTTATAATTTTTTTCATCTATTATATTTGATCCTTATTCTTTTTAATGCTATTTTTTTTATCATTTTCTTGATTTATTTTATTTTTCAATTTCATCACTCATTAGTTTATTTCATTTAATTTTTACACTATATTTTATCCAAATTCTTTTTATTACTATTTTTTGTTTTTTTATTATTTTCTCTATTTATTTTATTTTTCAATTTCATCCCTTATTATTTTATTTCATTTCATTGTTATACCAGAATTAGTCTCTCTTTTTTTACTTGCTATTTGTTTTTTTGTTATGATTGGAAGTTTTGTTTCATGATTTTTTTTGGTCTATTTTTTATGGAGTAACAGGGTCTCATGACATGGGTTACAGGTTTTGAATATTAGCCCATTTTGATTTTGATTTTTTTTTAGTTTTTTTTTAAATTGATTTTTTTTTCAATAGTCAACATTAGGTTATTAGACATTCATTTTTGTGAATTTTTTTTCTTTTTTTTTTTATTTGGAGCTATCTTAATGTCATATCCCGAATCATGAGGTAGTTATGGTAACCTAGTTGACTCAAATTATTTTTGAAGTTTTTTTAATGGATTTGTTTTCTAGTTTCTCTTTATATTATTTAGTTTAATTGAGAGTTGACCCTTTTTATTATATTTAATTTTTTATTTGGAATTATTTCAACCTCACAACTAGGCTACAAGTTTGGAATGCTGGCTAGAGTTAGATTTTTTTATCCATTATTAAAATTGATTTTTTTTCTCAATTTGTTCCTGGACTTTTGATTTGCTAGTAATTAAGCTTTTTTTTTTGTTTTTATTTTTCTATTTATGACTCAACAGCTTTTTTTTGTTTTTATTTTTCTATTTATGAGGTTATCTCATTCTCATTCAATTTTGCTTTATTATCAAATAAAATTGTTGAGACATTTTAAGAATACTTAAAAAAAGGTGTTTTTTTAATATTGGCAAGCATTCATTTTTTATCAGTCATTGTCGTTTTTTTGGTTTTTATTGTCATTTTGTTTTTCTTATAATCATATTATTATATAAACTAAGCTTATTGAACCTATTCAAATTAATGACCTGGGTTGCAAATTTTTCTTGCTCTTTTTAAAATCTTATCATCGCTACAGCATCGTTTTTTATGTTATAAAAAATATAAAAAGTTTTAATCTGAAAAAATAACACAATAAAACAATTTGATTCTACTTGAGTTAACTTGTAAAATTTATGATTCGGGTCACAAGATCGGGTTAACCTCAAAGAAAACAAACTAAAACAAATAATAAAACATAATTCATAACCAGTTCAATGTGAAATATATCAATTAAAAAAATCAAGTCAATTGGATTACTCGTCAAACCTATGACATGGATTATAAGGCTAAGATATCTATATAAAAAATAAAATTGCGCAAATAATGAAACTCAATTTTCAATAAACAAATATTAAAGGAAGAAATTAGAAGAATATATATAAAAATTTTGAAAAAAGCCAAAACAATAAACATATTATTATAATACATAGTATTATGTGAGGTGATGAGAGTAAAAGCTCTTTTAATTTTTGCTAATAATAATAGTAGTAGTAATAGAATACCCGCATGAGAAAATGAAAGAGAGAATTGAAAATAAGTCTAAGCTTTAACCTACCAACATCTCTTCCAACCACTTCAAAGTTCCTATAGATTCTGCAATACATAAATAAAATCCACTCTCTTGTTAATCTGGCTTCTAATGTTTCTTCTTCTTCTTCTTTTACTGTGATTCATTATATGCTGACTTTAAAATGATTTTGACTTCGCTTTTTTGATAGATAGCAACTCTCAATAACATGTTTTAAATCCAGCTGGAGATTTGTTCTTAATTCTATTCATGCGGTTGGGTTTGGTGTTTCCTTTTCACCTTCAAAAGAACGCTTATTTATAACTAGGGTTGACCCTGCAATTCTATATAAAAATTTCCACGCTTTGGGTAATAAAAATGGCGCTCGAGTTATCGAACAACATGAAAAACAAGCCCTAACGGCCATGTTGTATTTTCAAGGTTTCCGTTCATATCTTTATAGTTTCATGGCTCAACTTTCTTCAAGCAGAGTGAGTATTAATGAGCTCCTCAAGTTTCCCAGTGATGCCAAGCACTCCTGCAGGTTTGCACCGTGGAGAAATAGGTAAGAAAAGGAGAACAAAAGAGTCCAATCTCCCCGTAGAAACTTGTTTTCAGATTCTGTATAAAGGTGTTTAGATACTTGCCAGACAAAAGATCTCCCAACTCCAACAATGCACACTTTTGAACAAGCCCAGAAAATGCATTGAACATTCTAAACTAAACCACACGACAATTTACAAAGAAATGACAAAACAGAAGCTTCTCCCAAACTTTGGAACGTAGAATCAAAGAAATGAACGTGGAAAACAAGCAAGAATACACATCCTAACACTGCCTACAAAATATTAGGGAGCTGTGAATCCAATCTGTGCTGCAATTCCTTAATCTTCATGGAAAGCTCTGCCTTCTGCTCCTTGTAGCTCTGCAGCAAGTACTCTTTTCCTTCTATCACTTCCTTCAAATCACCTACTTCCCTCTTCAGCATCTCAATCCTCCCGCCATCTCCCCTTCCCTTTTCCGATGTCTCAAAATTGCTTTCCCCGTCAAGATACCCATTTGCATGGCCATTTCTAGCCTCAGATGGCCATGCTGTGATTGTTGATGGTCTGTCATTGGTGTCCACATGTTTCACACAGTGATCAGCAATTGCCTTTCTGAGCCTCTGGATTTCCCTTCCAGAATCAAACAAATCCCTGTTAGCTGCATTGATCTGTGATTGCAAATTTGAAGCAAGTGTCAGCTGAGCATTGAGTGAATTCTGTAATTCCAGAATCTGATCCTGCATCTCAAGAATCATGTCGTCTCTCCTCCTCAGTTGCTGCCTCAGCTTCTGTATAACTTCTCTTTTGCTGAGGATGTCAGAACCAGATTCCGAGACACTTGGTGAGTCAGAGCAGTTTGAATGGCTGAATGGCTTTGGAGGCAACTCGAGGCGATCAGGAGATGATACCCACATAACACCATTCTCCTTGGTGAATTCCACAGCAGGAACCATCACCAAAGGTAGAGCAACGTCTGATTCAGACAGCATCTGGTCGTTGGACCGGTGCTTCAGATCTGCAATGCCTTCATTCCCTGATTCAAACCCAAATTCACATATGAGATAAAAAAGAAAAAACTTCTAATAACACGGATTCCGTTATACAATGAAACAAATAACACATTCTATGATTGTCAGATAAAGCAAATACATAACAACCCGACTATGTCTTGAAACCCAAGCTAGCTGGATCAGGTACATGGATCTGTTTTCGCCAAAATGTTCCGTTCATGGCACTTCTTTTCCCTGAATTTGTGACGCAGCTTTTCTTTTTTTTTTCTTTTTTCTTTTTTTTTTTGGGGGGGGGGGGGGGGTGTCTCATATCTGCAAATGCCGCCATTCCCTCTTCTAATCCACTTCAATTTCATAAGGACTTTACCTCCTCTGTTCTTTCATCTTTCCGTCATACTAATAATTAAGAAAATCACATGGATTGGTTGTGATAAAGCATTGCAAAATTAGAGGGGATAGATGTCAAATTATAGGAAGCAAAGTATGGACCATGATACAGTTATATTGTGCTTATCCTTATTTGTGGTGTTTGGGGTGGGGGGGGATTTAAAAAATAAAAATAAAAAAGTAGGATTGTCCATCAAGGACGGGTCCGCATAGGATTTGTGTGCCAACGATGTACACACAAAGAAAGAAGTTTTCTTTTCATCATTTCCTCAAACCTCACAAGAACATATCCACCTCCTCTCACAATCCCTCCCCAACCCTCCGTCACCACAATTAAACAATGAACATGTATTCAGAAGCTGAAGGAACTGCACTGAAAGGAAGATGCAATGCAAAGTGACATTATCATGCAACTACAACTAGCCACTTCCAGAATCTATATCACAAGATATCCAAAAACAGGCAAACCAAACAGGTTAGCAAACATTTAGATTAAAGTATCACATACTCTCTTCAACCCTTTTGCAGCATGAACAAGAAAGATTGTCATACCTGAAATGCAGTTGAAGCAAACATCACCACCTTGTGTAAAGGAATACAAGTTTGAATGCATATTGCAACCTGGAGATCTCCTCTCAGATGAATTCATGTTCCCTGCATTGCTCATACTTCAAAAGTTATGGCCAAATTCTTATTAAAGACTACTAGCTGATGATATAAACAGCACTACACCTTTCAGACCATCACTAGCATTTGCCTGTTGCTTTGAGTCCAGTGTCTGCTTGAGCTTGTAACCAAGGCGAATTGACAATGTACTTAACAAGGCACCACCGGCAATAAGAATCCAATTTGGTCTCTCACCCTGAAAATTTTGTGCCTTCTGACCTCTAGAAGTCCCATTAGTTCTTGTTTTCATTTTAAGAGGAAGTAAGAAGCTTGAGAACACACTGGATTATCCAAATATAACCTACATTAACAATGCATCAAAATTCCATCGATAATTATATAGAAACACTAGGTGAACTCACATCAGGAAGCAACAAGATTACTAGATTTCAGCATTTCCCAGATACATGCATGCATACTAAATTACATTGACATATAACGGTGTGTGCTTGTATGTGCATAATTCAAAAAAAGCAGGTGAGAACCGCCAATCAAATATAACAAAGACAACATTTTAATATATCAAATGTTAGTTGCAGTTCAATAGAAACAATGCCAAGATCAAAGAGACAAGCTAAGGTAAATGCCACAAGCAATGGCCTATATCCACATACATGGCCATCCAAAAATCCAACCATATCTACAATCCCAGACATATTAAAGCTAGTTTATTTATTTTCCTCTTATGCTGGAAAGGGCTAAGCTAAAGCTTGAGACTTTCCCCATCTTGCGTGCTCTATCAAAGTTTCCATTGGCTAAACAAGCAACAATAAATGCACCATTTACATTGTTTTAGAACACAGTAGAACCTGACTAAGACTATCCTTACCTTAAGGCACTCCTGCCCAGTCTCTATCCTTACCTTAAGGCACTCCTGCCCAGGAACAACCAATTCTCACATTTGCACCATTAAAACACCATGAACAGCATAACAGGAGCCTCTTATGGGCCCATAATCCTTCCTAACCAAACTTGAGACTTTGCCAATACTCAACTGCATTATCTATGATCTATCTTTTCCATTTCCAACAGGACAAAAATTTCAGTCTCATCATTGACCTAGTCCAGTACACATTTTGCCATCCTATTTGAAACGGAAGTACCCTTAACATCACTCAGCCTCACTTCTCCCAGAAATAACCCCCATCTCCTTATGCACACATGCAATCTGATAAATGTAGATTACAAGGGAAGAATACTCTTAGCATCCAAAATTGGCATAATCTAACATACAGCTCAAAGTTCTCAAAAACCCTACTGCTAACTTCATAAAATAGAGTAGAAACCTCTATTACCTTCAACTGACTATCAAAACAAGTAAATGACATACACAACAGCATGAGGTATTCAGAACATGAAATTTCTGATGCAAACATTTTCAACAAAAAAAAAAAAGAGCAAATTAAAACCAACAGATTGGATGGGATTTCAAAAGAGAAAAGAGAGACAACATATTCTTCAACAACAAAATCTGTCTGATAATGATACTGATAATAATAAAAACATTAAACAAGAAGAAAGAAACCGAAACTGCTGTCACTTCATCTTCAAAAATAGGGTTGATAATGCAATGAATGAACCCATCTCAATCCAAATCCAAATCCAAATAAAAAAGGCAAACATCGTAAAAATCGTGACCATCATTACCTCAATAATAACAATAAGAAACACAACCAGCACTTCATAATTTTACCTCCTAAGGAGTTTAAAACAAACACAAAATGTCAATAAACCAATCAATCAATTAAGATGCTACAAAATAGATGGTAATCGCAAGCACAATCCCAAGTATTGAATTTGAGACAAACAAATAAACCTACCTCATTCAATGCAATAGATTGATTAGGGTTTCGTCTTCTCTCTATAACTCCGTTGAAACCCCCCGTTTTTAACCTCTTCTACCATTTGTTGTCTCTCTCTCTCTCTCAAATCAAACGTCCACGCTAAAATAATTACCTCAACACTTGAAAAGAGAAAAAGCTCTCTCTCTCTCTCTCTCAAATCAAACGTCCACGCTAAAATAATTACCTCAACACTTGAAAAGAGAAAAAGGCAGGGAGTGTTTTTGATTTGGCGGCTTTTGGATTTCCCTTTTCTTCTTTATATCTTCTTTTCTTTTCTACACGATTAATTAAGTTTGTTACAGGGGGGCTTTCTGTAATTTTCCAAACTTTCCTCCTTCTTCCCACGTCGCCGATTTATTCTTTTTTATTTCTTATGCCCTTCCATTTCCGACAAAAATTTGGAAGATTCAATTCCTTTTTAAGGTTTTTTTAAAAACAAAAATCAGTTTTGCCAATTCAGAATTACATCCCCAATCTATATATTTTATCAATTGAATCCTAATTATTTCATTCATTTCTTAAATATGCTCTTTTGTCAATCTCCTTCAATAGTTCAAGTTTGATTTACATATCTTATACCTAAAATAATGTCGACTTGAAAAAAATTTAATATTTATGCACTAGAAAGCGGAGAATTCAATATATTGATGAACATCAACAAAAAGACTTGATTGAGGATTTTTAAGACTTCATGATTTGTGGTTTGGGACTAAATGGAGAATGAATGTAGAGATTGGAGACTAAACTGAGGTTTTTCCCTTTTCTTTTCATCAACGAGATATCGGCTTAGCAGATCGGCGGCCTTTTCTCAGATGTCCTAATGAAGAAAGAAATGCTAGGGCGCGAGCATTCAGGTGTTTAACTTTAAAAGGTAAAAGAGGGCATTTGTTTTGTTTTGTTTGAAAAGGGAAAGTGGTCGTCGACTGGAAGAGTCTGCTTCACTGCTCGGCCGACGAACGTTATGGGCATGATGCCAGGCTTATTGATAACGGTTACATAATTGACACTTTATTCCACATCCGGTTCTTTATAGCTTTTTGTTTGTGATTTTTAAATCTTACAAATAGAAAAAAAATTGTTCAGAGGGCAGACAATTATTGTTTACACTCTTTATTTATAGGTTCACTAAACTAAATGGGTTGGTCAAAAACAATTATTTTATAACAAATATATAATCAAGTCCTCGGGAGGCTAGAGAAACCTTTTTTTAAAAAAACAAAAAGGGTTAAATCTGTTTTATCACCAATCAGAGAGTAAAGAAGAAGGCAGACAATTATTGTTTATACTCTCTATTTATGGGTTCACTAAACTAAACGGGTTGGTCAACAACAATTATTTTATAACATATATATAATCACGTCCTCAGGAGGCTAGAGACTTTTTTTAAAAACAAAAAGGGTTAAATCTGGTTTATCACCAATCAGAGAGTAAAGAAGAAGCCTTCCGGCCATAGCAACTGTCACTTGCATTCTCCTGGCAATCCATAAATTAATACACAACCGTGAAGTATAACTGCTAGAGAGAAGCTAACCAGGAAACATTGGCAATGCTATAATTCTGGCCTGCATTCTTTCCCCGTTTCCCTTTCTTATTCTCTTTTCATTTTCTTCCAACCATGGAAATATTCCGGTCGTAATGAATGATGCCATTCTTGCGTCTAAAGAATGCAGTCTTCAAATTTATTCGGGCTTTCTACATGTAATGATGGCAAACTTAATCAGACCCTTCTTGTATCCTTCAATCATCAATGGCATCACCAGTGCTCCTCTGATGGTTTTCATACCTGATCAATTCATGGTAAGAAAGATAAAAATTTGAAAAGATACGTAGCAAAATGCATTTACGGTTTGAAATGGGAAAGAGGTAAACTGAGATCCCTTTCTCATAAGGTCATACAGGAGTAGTTCACCTCGGATGCATAAGAAAGAAGATTGCTTACCAGCAAACAATCATATCAAAATTTAATACAAACTGATGTGTCAAGTGATAGACGATGAGAATCTCGAAAGCATTAAATGGTGGTTAAACTGTCACAGCGATTTCTATCAAATTTATATGATTTATTTGTTTGCATAGCTTTACTCGAATAGAAACCTTATCATACATCCTTGCATGATGACATATCATGTATGCTCTTGCACATAAAGATTCATAGCAAAAACACAGCAAACCATGAAAGCTTTCCAAGAAACAATTTCCATTGAAACAAATGAAACAAAGGTCGGGAACAAAAGAAGATGAACAGTAATTGCTAGCAAGGAATGCGAAGCTTACCACTGCGCAGCAGAGATGTCAGGGTAGGGAACAAAAGAAAATGAACAGTAATTGCTAGCAAGGAATGCAAAGCTTACCACTGCGCAGCAGAGATGTCAGGCCCTTCCACGTCAATGCCGAGCGAATTACTGCTGGCCAAAATGGAGCAACATATTGAGACCAATCTGCTGTCTTAATATCCTGCAATGCAATGACAGCTGGGACATTAGTTTTTACATTTTGAAAAGAAAATTTAGAGGTAACAAATAGGTTATGATAACAATGGCAGAGAGGAAAATTGGATTTTGACTCAAGTCCTAATGTGTCCAGAAGAAATATATATATTCGCAAGTGAAAATGACAAATTCTCTGTATACCCACTCAGCATGGATCAATGGGTCATGAAATGGAAGAACATATTCTGACTAGCTTTTAGTTCATCATTTCTTTCCAATATTGTTGTTTTACTCTAAAAGAAACTTCTACCATGTATCTGAAAGGGATACAAATTGTAACATTAACAAGTGGCTAAGTTTAATTATCAGCCTTTGTTGTAGCTCGTTGATTTTGTGAAAAATATTCAATCCTTTAGCCAAATATAAGGCAGTATTTACCTGAAGAGAGAGGGACTCAAGTAAGTTGACATAATCAGCAGTAGAACACCAATCTGGAAGATAGTAAGCATCACATATCTTTTTAAGATGCTTCATCTCCCATGGCTGAAGAGATTCTTCAGAAGGGCCAAGAACCCTGTGACACCATGTTACAATAACAATTGTGGCTCCTGGGGCAGCGACTCTAGCCAATTCACCAACAAACTGCCAGTTTGAGGGAACAAGGAGTGGAACTTGAGATAACCACATATAACAAGAAATGAAGCAAATCTAAAGCGTAGAAATGAATTATAAGTGAAGCTAGTAGGTGTAAGAGAGAAGCAACCTTTCTTTTGTCGGGCATATGCTCTCCACTCTCCATTGACCAAACCAGATCAAACTGTCCATCTGGAAATGGCTGCTCTAATGCATCTGCAACTTGAAAGGAAACCTGCTAAATGCTGACATTGTTATTGCTAAACCTAGTGTAGTACTATTATCTACAAAATGATGAATGAAGATGGATGCAAGAAAGGGTGTTGATACTACAGAAGCAGATCCAATTCTCACCAGCTTCCAAAAATATAAACAAATAAATAATTAACAGAAACGAAAGTAAACATGATTATGTCTTAGATATCAACTAAATTTGTGATTGGCCAAAGAAAGAGAAGCTAGAGTTTACACACAATTTATACTGCAGAGCTTCGAGTGGTAAATTAATGTAAAATATTTAAAATGTTGGAACACACACCTTGTCAGCTAATCCTTCAGTTTCAGCAAGAGCATTGGCCCTCTCCGCTTGGAAGGGACTAAGTGTGATGCCTTGGCATTTGGCTCCAAATTTCCTTGCTATGTACCTAGAGCTGCCTCCTATCCCACACCCAACATCAACCACAGTCTTTGGCCCCTTTTCTGGGTCCTCTGGAAAACAATTTAGATATAAAAATAATGGACTGGGACTTAATTAGAAGCTTACACTCATTCACATGCTGATATACATTAATCATACTCTGGTTTTGTTTTTCCTCGGATGGAGTGTTGTTACATAAAGCTCTAGGAAAAATATACCGATCTAGTTATCATACGAGGAAAATAATATATATATATATATACCTTGCAAAAAAATATACCTTACAAGCTCTATGTACCTTGCAATGTAACTATCCTCCTCCACAAGTCTGACAAGTTTCGACTGTAGAATTTTTAGGAGTATTTTATTATCTCAAAACTGCAAATTTTACACTACAACAACCAAAATTTGCAGTTTTGAGATAATAAAATACTAATGTAACTATCCTTCTCCACAAGGCTGATAAGTTTCGACTGTAGAATTTTCAGGTGTGTATATATATATATATACACACACCACAACAACCAAAATTTGTAGTTTTGAGATAATAAAATACTCCTAAAAATTCTACAGTCGAAACTTGTCAGACTTGTGGAGGAGGATAGTTACATTGCAAGGTACATAGATCTTAACGAGATTTTCCTAACTTTGATGGTGATGATGTACATAATTGGTTGTATAAATACAACCAATATTTTGAGATAGAGGAAATTAAGGATGATAAAAAGTTGAAATTAGCTTCCTATTAACAGGTTGAAATTAGCTTCCTATTACTTGGATGGGATGGCCTTGTAGTGGCACCAAAACTTTACGAGAAGCTTAGGGGATAAGACAATCTCGTGGAGTGAATATGTGGATGCTCTATGTTCTAGATTTAGGGGTCAGAAGGACCCATTGAAAGAACTCATGGAATTAAGGCAAGTTGGGAACCTGGAAACTTATATTCAGAACTTCGACATATCATGGAATAGAGCTAAGGTTAATGAGAAATCGGCTCTAGTCCTTTTCATAAGAGGATTGGTGGTGGAGATAAAAAAATATAGCTTATAATTTAGCCAAATTGCAACAGAGCACCCTCACCAACAGGCGCAACCATCCAGGCCACTCTAAATAACCCACCCAAACTACCATTCAAGTAAACCAAACCAGGTTCAACCCTTACTTCACTACTCACAGAATTCCAAACTCATCAACTCCAATTACCTTAAAACCATCTCAAATAGACATTTTACCTACTCCCACTCAAAACTACTTTAACCAAACAAACACAAAACTCATTAGGTCACACCAAGGAGCAAGGAGGTGGGGGAGAGGAGAGCAAAAGGAATGTTTCTGGTGTGATGAGAAGCTCGTAACAGGGCATAGGTGTAAGAATAAAAAACGTTACTCATCGTGTATCGTGGATGATGAAGAAAACAGTGGAGAAGAAGTTGTTCATGGGCAGGAACTAGCTAGGTTCTGAAGAAATCATTCCTCACATTTCTATTAATGCATTTGGAGGGCACTGCTAGTTTTCACACCTTGAGAGTGGTGGGGAAGATTGACAAGCAACCACTCTTCATCTCGGTAGACTCTGGCAGCACTCATAATACGAGTCGAAATCCAAATTACAAAAACAATGTTTTCATCACGAGACTTGACACTCAGATTTCTTCTTAATAGCCAATTAAAATTACATGTTCACAAAGCCATTCAAGCCTACACAACAAAAGTCAAAACATAGCATTTTTTTAGCATAATAATAATATATTCTTTAGCTATTAAATCTAGATTAGCCGGCAAATTTATCTGGGATCTAACCCAGATCAAAGTTTAAAATCTAAATCAACTTGAATTAATCACATCAATCCGAGCTCGCCTAGCCAGCCCGTTACCCGGGCTGGTTTCATTGCTATGCTAATGACATGTAAAAAAACATAAACATAAACGGCAGGACTAAAAGTAGGCTGCCACGTAAGTTTTTTTAATAAGACGGAGGTTTTTCGGGAGCTGAGATATATATATATATATATATATATATATATATATATATATATATATATATATATATATATATGGAAGAGAGGCAGCAAAGAAAAAAGAGTAACAAACCAGAGACGCCGGCAAAACTGAGTGCCTCTTCTATCATTCGGAACTGAGCAGCCCGGTGATCGGAATCCGACCCGGAAACTACTTCATCCGGGTCGTAGAATCCGTGATGCATGTGGTCTCCCCAAATGTCCTCCCATACAGCAGAGGACTCGTCGTAAAGCTCTGCTATACCTTGCTTAAGCTCTCGAGTACTGCCAGTGTTTGCAACGGCTGTTGACCCCACGCAACGTATCGACCGGGGACGACATGGCAGAGGGGAAAGACACGTCGTACGGTATGGGTGGAGGTGAGGAATGGGATGGGACGTGCGGTTGTTGTGGAAGATTTGGGTTTGTGACGTGCTGGATAGTAGCATACTAGTCATGATGGGTATTGCTATCATTAGGGAGTAGTTTTTCAGGGGGGCTTTTTGTTTTATTTTGCTTTGTGGGGTTTCTCGACTGATTAACACTACAATTAAAGAGGGGAAAGATGAGGTGTCGCGTCCGCTACAGAGAGAGAGAGAGGCTTTGATGGGATATGGTGTGCGTTTTTGCTTTTTCATGAAGATAATATTTTTTTTATTTGTTTTGTCGTGAGCCCTTGTTTCTTTTATTAAAAAAAAATTTTGAATTTTTTATTTAAAAATATTAAATTAATATTCTTTAAATAATTTTGATGTGATAGGTTAAAAATTAAAAAATTTAAAAATCTATTATTTTCAAATATTTTTAATTAAAAATTATTTTTGAAAAGAAGTACCAGACGCTCACTTAATAACATCTCACTAATGATTTTAGACTACGGTATGTTTTTTCTTTTGGTGGGGTCATGGATATTATAGCCTTTGTCATGTTTTGTCTCCAATGATTTGTAATCGTGCATCATTTCAAAAAATAAAATAAGTTGGAACAAATATCTTCTCTCTTTTTAATCTCAATTCATTCTGAATTTTTTAGTCAAGTTTTGCCTGAGATATTTTATATTTATTTTGTTAATTTTGTTTCATGAATAATTTTTTTTTTAAAAAATTTAATTTAATAAAAATTAAATTTTATAATTTATTATAATTTATTTTCTTTCTAATTATCTTAATATTGTGATTTTATTATGAATTTGATGGTTTAAATCAGTTGGTTTAAGTTTTTTTCTAGGTTTTTAATTAATTTTTTTTATTATTCAATATATTATAAATTAAATTTTGTTATTTATTTTTAATTATTTCTACAAAATTATTTCAGTTTCATAGTGCTATTTATAAGTTTTACAAGTTAACTCAAATAAACTTAAATAATTTTTATTATATTTTTTTAGATTGAATTTTTTTCCAATTTGCATTCACCAATGAATTTATGTAAAAATAAACTTCATAATTTTTTTAATTTATTTTATAGAGAGTTGTTATAGTCTTATAACTAAAGCCGTTAATTTTAAAAATTAACACAAGTTAACTAAGGTCAATTCAATATATTTTCGTCTCAATATTTTTTTTAAATAATATCATCTTGAATTCATTTTAATCAAACTATATTTTCACATGTCGTTCAAGTTGTTTTTAAACTTGTCTACTCAATCAAGTCATATTAAATCAACTCTTATAAGATTTAATTTTTTTATTAAAAAAATTAGCTACATTTAAATATTTCTTTTTATGTTTAAAAAAAATAATACAACCCATAATATAGCTCAAATAAATAATTTAGTTGCTACTAAAAATAAATGTTTAAATTTTAAAATTATAGCTAGATAGTTAATATTGTGTTTGAGATTTGAATGGTATAATTTTAAGTTAATTTATCTTTTAAAAAAAATTGTTCAATCCCATAATAACACACTAAATTATTTTAAAATTAAAATATATCATTTAAATTAAAAAAAAAAACAATTAACAGAATTAACCATCACACAAATATATTCTATACAATTTTATTTTATTTTTCACAAGTCCGACATACAGTGAACTTGACAGGGACTAATCTTATCATATGCTAACTTAGTTATATCAAAGAATGAAGCAAAATCAACTCCATTACCTCGTAGTTAATACCAAGAGGTCATTGTTCATTCTATCAAGTTCGACACCTGTTTATGTGAAATATTTTAAACCCAACTACTTAAAAATAAATATAAATTAAATAATGTCATTAATATATTAAGGTTGGTGTTTATTTGTATTAATCAATATAAAAATAAAATAATTTATATGAAATTCTTAAAATGTACTGTTCTATTGATTAAAAGTTTTTACTGATTTTTATTTTATTTTCTAGTTCAAATTTCAGATCAGTATTTAATAAAATTTATAAAAATTTTCTTAAAATATCCAGAAAATGGGTTTTAAAGAAGATTTAATTTCATGATATTAGGATACCAGTACTGCAAAAAAAACAAAAAAATTGGTCGCAACACTGATAAAACACTCGTTCCGTTACCGCCGCCCCCCAAGCATGTTGTCCATTTTTTGAAATTTCATTTTGGTTTTGGGAGACAACTAATTTGAATTTATTAGATAATATTAAAATTAAAATTAAAAAGACATCTTAATAGATGGAATGCCAAAAATTATGTAAAAAATATACTTAGGTTTTCAAACATTAAAAATAATGCAAAATATATGATTTAAATCCCTTAAAATTCAAACAAAATTATTTTATATAAAAGTTTATTTTTATTATTTTAGGTTCTGTTTATTTGCTGAAAAATATTTTTTTAAATGAATTCCGAGAAAGTGAAATATTTTTTAATGTTTGGTAATGTAATGAAAAAAAAATATTTTTTTAAGTGAATTCCGAGAAAGTGAAATATTTTTTTAATGTTTGGTAATGTAATGAAAATAAATTAAAAAATATTTTTCAATATTTAGTTATGTTTAGTTATGTTATAGAAAATGAGTTAGAAAATAATTTATTAATATTTTATTCTTTTCAAGTTTATTAAAATAATAAAAAACAAATCTTACACATTAAAAAGTTGAATGAGAATGAAATTGAAAAAAATATAATTTCATAAATTATCTCAAATAAATTAACTAATAATCAAAATAATAAATATTAAATCTAACAAATAAAAAAATTAAAAGATGAAGAATTTAAATTGATAATAATTATCATTTCATAAATTATATCAAATAAAATAAGTAATAATCAAAAGAATGAATACTAAATTTGATAGATAAATGATTTCAATTAAAAAATAATAAGAAAAAAGTAAATAACAATTATAAAAATGAGAATCAAAATTAACATAAAAATCAAATTCAAAAAAATAAAATTCAAAAAAATATATTTAAAATAAAATATATATAACAATTAAAAGTTTGAGGATCAAATTTGATATAATTAGCAAATAAAATGATATTTTCAAATTTTTAACAACTTCCAGAAAATATTTTCTACTAAAAATACAATTTTCTGAAAGGCAAACTAAATTTTTCTTTGATTGAGAAGTGTTTTTCATTAACTAACTTTTCTAATGACAAACAAATACATGAAAATTTAAAAAGTGATTTTCAAGAAATCATTTTTCGAAACAACAAACAAGGCTTTAGGTCATTGATTAGAAAGAGAGGAGAAATAAAAATTGTCAAGTTCCAGCGATGAGAGAGAAAGGTATTGTTCAAGCTATTTTTAACAACCAAAATAAATTTTTTTGTTGTGCACAAGTTCCATTAAATATGAAGGGCTTGTTGGTGGATGTTTAGAACCTCAATATTTCCTAAAAAAACAAATCTATAACAAGAAAGATAAATCTACCCATGCTTAATTTCGTGCTTTTCGATCTTTATTTTTGGTATTTTGAGTTTATAAATTGATTTATAAATGTTTAAAGAGTATTTGTGAAGTATTTCTATATTAAAATAACTTAAAAATTAAGAATTGTTTTACAAAAAAAAAACGGCTGCCATGATTTTGTGGCCACTACTGGATGGTCAAAATCTAGGCTTGCATATAATACATTGTTTGTGTTTTTCTTTTCTTTAAAAGACAAGGGTAAATGATTTAAAATAACAACAACAAAACCAAGTGCTGGCCATTGCTGGATGGCCAAAATCTAGGCTCGCATATAATATATTGTTTGTGCTTTTCTTTTCTTTAAAAAATAAGGGTAAATAATTTAAAATAACAACAACAAAACCAAGTGCTCAAGCCTAGGTTATGTTTGGCCTTTTTTTGTATTTTTTTAAAGTTAAATATAAATCTAAGAAAAAAACATTATTGAACATAATTGAATTTATGACCTAGAGTGCAAGTTAAGTTACAATATTTGAACTATTTTTTCTTAACATATTTTTTTAATAGATATCTTTTTTAAATATTTTTTTTCTCAAATAATTTTTAAATTTATGTTACAATTAATGCCTTTTGAATGTGATTTTTTTTTCATATTTAATCTTTTTTTGATAGAATTTGTTTTTATGGTACTATGTGAATTTAGTTTCTGATAGAATTTTTTTTTATGGTACTATGTGAATTTAGTTTCTAAAAAAAATATTCTAATTTATCTATAATTTTTTATATTTTATATAGTTTAATTTTATTTTTAAAATAAAAAAATATTTATTTTCAAATAATGAGCATTATTGTATAATTTTTTTATTTTATTTTATCAAATCAATTTAATGTCTCTATTTCTATTATAGCTTGATTAAATAAAAAAATTCAACAATTAAAGTCAAGTAAATATTTTATCTCGTAAGATTAAATATCTTAATTTATATTTTTTTTATCAAGTAAATATTTTATCTCATAAGATTAAATATCTTAATTTATATTTATTTTTTGATTTTTTTCAATTTTATTTTTAGTTATTATTGACTTTTTTCTTGTTTATTAACCTATATAATTCTATATTTATTTAATTACATGTATTTATAAATTTTTTAATTTACATTTCTACAATAATCACCAACACATTTCTACGTATCATTAAAATTATTGATTTTCTATCATTGTAGTGGGGTTTATTTTAATAATAAATGAGCTTTAAAACTTATTTAAAAATGTAATTATAATTATTTTTAAAATAGTTTTTTATAACAAAATACATATCAATGATTTTTTTTATTTTTTAAAAATTATTTTTTACATTAAAACATCAAAATAATTTAAAAACACTAAAAATATATTACTTTGAAGTTAATAAAAAATAAAACAAATTTAATTTTTTAAAAAAATATTTTTAAAACACAAAAATAAACAAGACCTTAATAATTAAATATAATTTCTCTCTTTCCGATTACTATTATTTCAAGATGATAAAAGATTTAATTTGTTTGTTTTTATACTTTAAAATCTATTTGAAAAAATTTAAATTTATTTATTTTTTATTTTAAATTATTTTGATGTATTAATATAAAAAATAATTTTTTAAATATATATATAATTTTAATATATTTTCAAATAAAAAAAATTAAAAATTAACCACTATTACACTATATCATAACTAACAACAACTAATAAAGTTTGATGATCATGCCTAACAACACCCCCATCATACCTAACAACAACGAATAGAGTTTGGTGTGGATTGGATAACTCATAGAAAGC